TTGTATGCGACTTCAACATGTGCTTTACTTTTGTAGTGGCAGGCTGGGAAGGGAGTGCACATGACAGTCGGATTTTCTCATTTGCCACTAGGAATAGATCACAGTGTTTCCCTCACCCCCCATCAGGTTAGTGTTGCTTTGTAATTTATTAATTTGAGCATGTAATCTTTTTATTAACAGTGTTTTTCGTATTAGGAAAATACTATCTGGTTGATGTCGGGTATCCTATGCAAAGGGATTGCCGGAAGCCCTATCCTGACACAAAATATCATCTTCCTGATTTTGAGAGAGCGAGTGACACCATCCGTGGCAGAAAGAAAATGTTTAATAAATGCCACTCATCTTTACACAGGGTAATTGAAAGAACATTTGGGGTTTGGAAGAAGAAATGGGTCATCCTATGTGGTCATCCTACGTGATATGCCGTCGTATTCTTTCCAAAAGCAGTTGCATATTGTGGTTGCAACAATGACAGTACATAACTTCATCCGAAGACATGCCTCACGATCAGATATAGACTTTAGTATGACTGACAATGACGAACTGAATGTCTTCGACCAAACTCCTGGAATTGTGTGTGGGAGTTCATTACCCGAGGATGATGTAGACTCTAATGAATTTAGAGATCAAGAAGGTGAAGGTTTGGCTGATATGATTTCTTTAAGGGAGTCTATCACAGATGTTATTTGTGGCTGTTGATCTTCCAAGTTTTACTTTAATAAGGTTATAGGTTTATATTCATATGTATTTAATTTTGGTTACTTTTAAAATACCTTAAACCAACATTGATTCTTTTGTTATTTTCGCAGTTAAACAAACATGACTTCCAGGATATCAGGTGCGGACAGAGGGATTTTGTGTTATTGTGGATTACCGTCTCCGTTGCTAACGTCACGTACGGAGCATAGCTTTGGGAGGCAGTTCTATGGTTGTGACAAAGGTGTTCAGCTCGTTGCGGTTTCTTCAGGTGGGCTGATAGTCTCACATATTACACTGCCAGCAGTCATGCCAGCAGTCATGTGAATTTGATGTTTTCTCAGGCTGACTGTGCAGTTGACGACCGACGTAGCCGATGTGAGAACTGTATGATATCTTTTAGAATATCTCTGTCATTATCGTATGTTTCTGCACTATATATTTCTTTTCTACAAATAAGCTATTCTGAATAAGCTGCCCCAAACAGTTTTATCACACAGGGGCAGTAATGTCATTTAACCATCAATAAGCTAGTCTGAATAAGCTGACCCAAACAGCAAGCCAGATTATTCTGATAATCTACAGATTATCAGATTATCAGAATAATCTATTTATCAGCAGATTATAAATAATCCACAGCTGCGCCAAAGAGACCCTATACTCCATGCATTATATATTCACATAATTTTGAGCAATGGGACATAACTTTTTACCCGAGGCGGCAAATCGCTTTGTACAGTAAATTAGTTCTACCTTGTGCGGTGGAGCATCGGAGTTTCTCAACACTGTCGAAAACATGTTTCTGCAATCGTTTTTCTCCGTGTAATAACTCTGATTTACAGCGCTGCACGAGAAGAAGACAAAACCAGAAAGAGGGGAACTGATCTTGCACCCCAAGCTCTTCGGATTTCTCCACCCGCTTCCAGTTTTCCGCTTATTTTCTCACTCCCATTATCAGCTGTCGGTTCCTAGGTATCCGCTTCTATCCATCCTTCTATTTCTCCTTGCTAAGTTCTATTGCCGAGGTCAATTTTGAATAAGTTTGACTTTCTTTCATGGTTGATTTGGATGTTAGGGGTATGGGATTCGCTTTTTTCTGTAAGAGTGAACGGCGGACAGTTGCAAGCGATGTTAGACTTTAATATTTGCGTGTCAATTGCATTGCATAAGTGCATGACGCGCTCTTTTCGTGGTAAAAAATTACTTTGTTTGCTTCTCTCTGATATATTGACTGCTTGAAATTGCTTCTCAAGATGGCGGCTTATACTAGTTTTAGTGTTTTCATGATTATTGTCACATGATACAGTTTACTAAGTTCTCTCTGCTCTTTTATTTTTTAATTTATTTGGATGAGGAATGAAAGGAATTATGAAGTTAGCTGTTTTTTCTTAACTGTGAAAGAAAAAGGAAGGAAATAAAATATAGAAATGTTTTGGAGGTGTAATGTACAAATCAAAGCATGGGGCTTTTGTTTTTTTTTATTAAACCCCTGTATAGGGGAATTTTATTCTATCAAATAAAAATTACAACAAATGGCAAGTGGAACCTACTAATCCCCATACAACTCACGCAAAAAATAAAAAACTTAAGCTTCCTCTCCTAAAAAATAAAAATACAACTCAACCCTCCAAAGTACCCAAAAAGACAAAAAACTACAACAAATCATCATAAACTAGTTTATTAAGCAACAAATTGACATGTTCAAAAATAACAGCAGTTGTAAGGTAACTTCCAAATTTCGCAGCCCAATTCGCAACCTTATTACCTCCTCTTTTGGTGTTAGTCCAGGTTATAGATAAATCCTTAGTCATCTCTGCAATCTTTTTCATCTGGATGTTTATACTCCAATGGTGCTCTTCCTTTAACCTGCAATACTTCCAAAGCAAAAAAGAATCCATTTCTGGATTTATATATTTGCACCCATAGTTATTAGCAATCATTAGACCAAAAACCAAAGCATCAGCTTCAACACTTAACGCAGAGCTAGGAACCAAAGGGGATGCAAACCAGCAGATAACCATTCCGAAAAAATCTCTACATACACCTCCAATTCCAGCTCTAGATGGTTTCCAACTACCATCAATATTTATTTTTATATAAGGTGCATGAGGTTTGTTCCAAACAACAGGTAAATTATGCTTAATTGAACGCACATAATTAATTTTGAACAATTCAAACACCTCAATTTTGCTACAGTTTTTACTTTTACAGCCATAAAAAGCATGGGGCTTTTGTTGTTCCTATTTGTGAGGTGCAAAGAGCAAGGTATACAATTGTAGGACCCAAAATAATCTGTGATGATACTAGAACCTTACTTGAATGCTTAATGAGAAAGAAGAACAATGATTGGTTGCTTAATTCTCATTCTTCGGTGCTATTGAAACTGTTACATATTGAAATATATAAATTAGAAAAATATATAATAAGGCTCAATATTTGCTTATTGCAAAATTCATGAGAGGTGTAGGTTAATTATATTAAAGTAGCTAATAACTAGATTGAAGTCCTCTACAAATGACACACCATTTTATTTGTTGATGTTTCGTATCTTTTTTGATGAAGTCACTGGCATAACTAGTGGAAGTTGTTGACTTATGAATGAACTCGTTGACTTTCTTAAATGAATGTTATTGATTAGTATTGCTAGGTATGCTTTGAATAGTCTTTGTTATAAGTTTTTGACAAGTTAACTATGATTTTGGCAAGTTTGTAAAAGCTTCACCTAGTTCACTATGGCTCTGACAGATTCGTGCAAGTTTAACATTTTTATTGTTCTAACTTGGCTAAATTATCTTGAATCGGGCCAACTTGGGTTGAATCGAGTTCTTATGATATTTTCATGTTCAACAAGATTGTTTATTGAAGTAAAACAGAATGAAAATGTTTTGAATTATTCTTCAATTAACGTAGCTAGGATAAGATTAGTTCTGTTAGGCACATTAAAAAGCTTAATTGGGCACCTTTAGCTTAATGGGCTATTTGGCTTGCAGGGTTTTGAGTGTATTATGTTCTAAATGAAAAGGTTTTAGAAATTTAGGTATTTGGTTAGTTGAAAAATAAATTAAAGGAAAATATTTAGGATTTTGAAACTCAGTTCTTTTGTTCATTTTTGTTGTATTTCAAAGTTTCCCCCTTTTTGATCTATTTCAAAATATCACATAACCTATTTGTTGTGTTAAACCCTTCACTCTCGCCAGTGATTCCTCACACTTGTTCACAATCCCTTGCGCGGACCTTGCCGGTGACCCTTAATGACTTTGCGCTTGTGAACCCTTTCGATTTTGCACTTGTTGGTGACTACACTCATGTCCACAGTTGTTAACCCTCATGCTCGCAAACCGCATTGTGATTGATATTGCCTTTAAACCCTGCTGGAGGCCGTACATGCTTGTCTATATAACCAACTTAGTAGAAATTTGTTACATTTCAGATCTATAATTTGCTCTAGCACATAAAACATTTGTTATACTTGCAATAAGAGAAATACAAGAAAATTACTCTTAACTTTATTTTACAAGGTACCAAATACCACAAAGTATTTTAGATACAAGAACTTTACTTTACGCTATATTTTGAATACATCTGCTTCTCAAATGCTTATGTATAAACAACTTATTAAAGAAGAGGAGGCTCAGCGGGAGTATGCCATTTTATGATAATTTTTAATTAAAAATGGAATTTAGTGGAAAATATAAAAAGAATGCTTTTAATCTTGCAAGAAAAGTTAAAATTAATATATGATTAAGTGCGTCACCCAATTTAATATCCAGTTACATGATGTAGAGAACCTCTGGTTCAGTCCTCTTTTTTTCTTTCCTTATCCAGTTGTGTAAATTTTAGCTATTTGTGACAGTGTGAGCTACTCTACTTTTTGATAGTAATTGCATGCTAATAACTGCAGTATATAAAGTGGAGATGATGCAAGTGGAGCAACAAATCAGATTAAACCATGAGAAGGAAATGGCATATTTAACATATATTATTGGACTTCTTGCTAGTGGCAGATGAGCAAGCTAAGGAAGGGTAAAAGTGGAACAGTTAAAACATTTTCGAAAATGAAAGTCCAGAAATTTACTTAGCCGATACTTTCGGGTGCTTCAATTTGCATATGTGATGGTTAATAAAGTAGATCGAGCTTAAATCATTTTCTTACATTTGCATGCAAATTTCAAACAACAAAACAAAGCATGTTGTGGTGTCATTTTTCCATCTCCATCATGAGGAGGTGCTGGAGTTGTGTTCATCAGAACTTTGAACTGTACTATCGGGCAATATCCCAAAAATTAATCTATATGTTTTCTTGCATATTAATGCATTTTAAAAAATCCTACGCCTTCAGAAACTATAAAAAAACTTTGAAGGTTGGAAATCCATGTGGGATGACATTTGCTGTACCATTTATCCCCTTCCTAATCGTAGAGGGTGACAAGTTGGAATTTTAAACTTAGAACTGATATTAATTTAATTTTATTACATGATAGCTTGGTTACCGTTCTTTAAAACTGAACTCTTGGTTTTTTATAGGTGTTCATGATTTTAGAATATTATAAATTTCAGCACATATGCATTCTTTAGTATAGTTAGAAAATGATCAATTTTTGTCTTGATTTTGTCCACGTTTTAATAATAGGGCCTAACTTAGCTTATTACTAGACATAACTTTAGCTGGTTAATGAATGATCTTGAATTTCTGAGACTTGCGGGGTTATGTAAATAAACAGCTTAGTTAGTAAATATCAATTTCTCCTTTTCTTCTATGAAGCTCATGTAATTTAGTTCATAAGCAACTTATTAGGTGAACATCAACTTCAGCAGAAATGGTAACTTGATATAGCAGGCAGACGAATCTTCTTTATTGTAGTTTGATGAAATTTTAATGGTCTAGAAAACTCACAAAATTCGATTCTTAAATATTTTCAACGTGTGTATACTGGTGTAATCACTTGAAGCTTGCATTTAGAATCCTAAGGCCTAAAAACATTTATTGGGCAAGTCCCTGTTCGATTTGGTTTGACAGATCACCTTATGATAAAAAAGAAACCTTTGTTAAAGAAGTACCCCTTTCATTCAGTTTGATGGACCATCATTTCTATGCACACCTACAGCAACAAAATTACCTTTTTAATTTTGTTGTGAATTTGCGATCCAGTAAATTAGCTATAAAATTAACTTTTTGAATGTGAAAAAACGTTCTTTCATGGAATTTTTTCATATTTTGTTTAGGGTTGGTGCTCGGTTCAAATGTTTCATTAATAACTCACGTTTCTATATCCTTTTTTTTTTAAATGAAGCATTTGATATTGATCATCCATCAAGATAGTGGAATTATGCGGACTAATGAAGAACTCTTGTCCAAGAAATTCTTAAATTTTTATTGAGCAAAGGCATCATATATAATGCTAGAAACAATTTAATTTTATTAATGTTGGAATTTAAGGGTTCATTTGGAGTAACCTTTTTGTACTTTCTAGGCAGCTGCCATACCTCTGTTTAACTACAGCGCTCATGGTACTTCAAAAAAATTCTGTGGTAGCTAAATCAAAGCAGTTGTTTGACTATAAAAGAAAGAAAAAATATTTATAATACACAATAACTTTAAAAAAAAATTACTTTTCCAATATTAATTCTACATCTATTTTGAATACAGCTACAATCCCTCCAAATGGATCCCAAGTTATAATGTTTATGCCATCACCCATCAATTTTATTAATTTTTATATCCTATATAAACTGTCTCAAGAAAATTTACTATTATATCCTACTACGCTTACAAATAACTTGCTAGGTTCTTTGGTTACGTTTGGCTTAGTATATATTGCATAATTGTGTTCTCAACTTAAGTTTGTTTGGTTTCCACAACTTTTCACCTTCTCATCCTTTTTTATTAGTGGTTGTGTTTCAGTTTTATCCTAATGAGATTCTTGCAGGCTGATTTGTCATCTTGCTGTACAGGTGCTACATATCTATGGAAAATACTTTTCAATTAGACTCTTTTTTCTTATTGGTAAGCAAATTGTTATAAAGATTAATATAAGATGGCTCGAAAAGGAAGTCAACCGAGAAATGGTTATGATCGCAAGACAAACAAATTTCAAAATGTAATTCCAGGATCATTGGATGAGTCTTCCATTGAAAGCAAAGAAACGAAAGCAAAAGGTGACCACAATGATCAGCCAAATGGTGATTTCCAAGTCAGATCGAGCAATCCTTTTGTTAAGAAAGGAATAAATACCGAGACTACTGGGACTGTTAGGAGTTCCAAGCAAAGAACCTCTGATGTTCATTTAAGGGAGAAGTCATTTAGTAGTAACCAGAGTTCAGCACGAGCAGATATGTCTTTTAAAGCAGCTGACATTACAGAAAATGACTTGTTATCAGATGCGTACATGTCCATTGAATCTAATGGAGTGATGCTCAATTATAATTGCAATCTTAGCAACAACCTGTTTAGTAGATTTTCAGTAGGAAGTACTGCATCTATTGTTGGATCTCTGCATACTATTAGTGATTGGAGTTTTAGATCTGCTTCACATGTCCTTAAAATTGCTAGTGAATGGATTGAGCATCTAAAACCTCGGGTCTCTCCTTTAATCTGCTATATGCATAATACCTATGATTATGTTATTGCAAGAATCAAGTTTGTGTATCCTGTGATTTGTACTTGGATTTTGCATTTTGGCAAATTGGCATTTTTTCTTTCTGCGATTTGGCTAGACTGCAGCATAAGGGGTGTTACTTCATTATTTCATTTGGGTACGGCATCATTATTTACAGTTCTCTGGTGCAGCCTACTTTCAATCATTGGTATGGTTGGATTCATAAAATTCCTTATCATGGCGGTGAGCATATTTTCTTTCTATATGTCTCTCCTTTTGTTTTCTATCACTAACATTTTGGAGAGTAACTGTGAATTCAATTGTTATATTGTTTGATGCTAAGTTTTTTGTTGTTCTTTTGTTTTTAATTTGATTTTAGTGACATTTTTCTTCATGAAATCATCCAATTATTTCTATTATATGTCTTCTATTTCTCTCGTGAATGACATTTCCATGTGATTTTTAAAAACTTCAGACAGTGGCAGAGGCCTAGGGTTAGACCTCTCAATGAGAGTCTATTTTGGATTGACTTCAAAAAATGTTTTTAAAGATGTATAAAGCAATTGGCTAGGGTTTGGATTTGTGGTTGTGAAGTAAATATGGTTAACATCCCTTAAAATATTTTCAAAATAGGGCCTAACCTATGATCCTTAGGATTAACTTTATTTATTAGTTTTGGAGAATCCAAGCAACTCTCATGCTTGAAAACACATCGGATATTTGGGCTGTAATTGGTATGTTTAAAAATTATTTGGATGATTTTTTAATTTTCTATGGGATTTTGATATTTTTTTTAGGTTTTATATAACTATTTCGTGTAGGATTCAGTTTTGGTCATAACTTAGGGTTGGATATTCAGCTTTGGTAGAGAGATTTAAGGTTGAAAAATTTGTCAGAATTACTTATAATTGATGAGGATATGTCTCTAGAATGGGTATAAAGACTTTCACAATTTTCTTAAGGGCTTTGTGTTTCCAAATGCTCAAAGGAACAATACTATGTCTTTTTCTTTTTTTATTTTAGCATTGTTCAACAACTTTCAATTGGCTTTTCCAAATATTTTGTGGTAGGACTGGGGATGAAATTGTACGGAGATGTAGAAGAAAATTAGCACAACAATACTACAACAAGAAATAAGAATAAATGAAGTGAGAAAGCCTATCACTCACCAAACAAATTGGAAGGGGATCATCAAATCTTCTTTTGAAGTGGCTGATTACTAAGGCCCTTTTAGACCTTGTAATAAAATCCCAATTTTTTTCAATCAATAATCATCTTTTCTTCTTCATTCCATCGAACAAAAATAGTCCAAAATAAAATTTAATGCAAACTTATTAAGAGTAAAAGGGGGAGAGGAGAGACTATTTTGTACTAGAGGAGGGAGATTACCCTCCAAAAACCATCGATTGGCCGACCCAAGAGTTATGCAAGGTATGTTATTTGCTTAATTTCACGAGAATAAATATTTCTTCCATGATTTTGCATATTATTACACACACATATATAGTTTTACAAAATAAAATTAAAATATTTAAATATTTAAATCTTGAGTTAATAATATAGATCTTTATCACGCTCTTTGTGATACATTTAATTTTTTTCTTGCTCTAAATTCTGGTGGTCGTTCCAAAAGCTTTCTGTGATGCTTTCTTTCTCTTGGCCCTTAAAAAACTCTTCTTTAAAGTGTTGGATGTTCAGATGTTTTTCTACAAGAGCAACTACCATTTTCTCCAAATCAGCCTTTAGAAGCCATATATAATCACTAGGTTGTGTGTTTTTCTATCTATTTTGGAATTAGTGCTTTTTAAAGTCATAATTAGTTGTTTAATCTGTCATTATACACTCTACTCTAGTTTCTAGGATGTTGGGTTGAATATCCATTTGCATTTGGTCATAGCCTCCAAATTCTTATGTACTGTATTTTTTTTTGAAATATTTTTATATCTTTACTATTAAATATATGATTTGTATGCATATTATATAGAAATTCAAGAAAATATACGCTAATTTTAATTTTTATGTGATTTTAAATGGGCCTCATTCTATTGCATGAGGGTACTTCAACTTGGAGGTGTTTCAGTTAGATTTGATATGGAATTATTACATAATCACTTTGTTTATATTCTTTTGTTGATCTAGTTTTATTCATAGATTCAGCTTGCTTGATTTTTTTTATATTATTTCTTCACATTTTTCTGTATACCAGTAAAATCAATTGGAAATGTATATGTAGAATTTGAAAATACTTGTGTAGGAACATCAATCTTATTAGGAGAACTTTTGGGATTAAAATGATATATTATCCTAAATGGTGATTGCTTGATGGTTTGAAATAGTAATGCTATAGATGAATTCTGAAGTTGCTATCTATAAATCTCAATTTCCTATGATCTTAAACCCGACATTCTCACAAATGGTATATTTCTCTAGAACTGTTGTTGTGGCTCGCTAGTCATTATTATGTTGACACTTTGTAGTAGTAGGTGGTCCAATTCTAAGCAATTGAATTTGACGCTGTTCTTATATTTATGTCTATGTTGAGATGATTTTATCAACTTTGCGAGTAGTAGGTGGTCCAATTGTAGGTTTGATCTGGGATTATTTGAAGGTGTTGAGATGATTTTATCAACTTTTTTTACAAAATAAAATTTGATAATCTGATCATTAAATTTAAGCATATTAAGTATTTTCTTAGTTATAAGAAATGACATTCATATTAAACAATTAAGATTCACCCAAGGGTAATTGTTCTATGTTTTTAGGAAAGACATCACATTACACATGTTTTTCATAGCATCCCGTTTTTGTAAGCATCATATTTCAATTAATGACTAGAAGTATTGTGTGGTTTACCTATCTCTTATAAAAAGATTTTGGATGAGCTCATTTGTTATTTTTCCCTTTTTAAGTGCTTGGGTATATATTACATTCATAATATTATCTATTTTATACGCTAACTTACATCTTCTTTCATTACATATAATTCATGTTGAAGATATTTTTTCCTACAGTATTTTGAGTCATTATTCTATATAATTTGACATCTCATTACACTGATAGGGTGTTATTTATATTTTCCAAGTTTTCATCAATCAATTGTGTATAATTAATAATCTCTTCTATTTTTTCATCCTTCTGATTATAATATTCCTATAAAAATAAATTTTAAGCCTTACACTGATGCTACATGTGTCATTTTCTTAAGAATTTGAAATAAATGATGTTCTTATTGTTCCAGAAGCTAGATTTAGTATCACGCTCGCCAACTTGTGGATGGTTTTGTCTAGTAAACCTTTGTGTGGAATAGAAGATGAACTGTGCTGTATTCACAAGGATGTTTGAGAACATTTTCTTGCTTGTCAATGAGGCGAGCAAAGTAAAATGTATCTTAAAATGATTTGAAAATTTTGATACTCTCCCTCATTTCTAATATTCATTCTAAGAATTATGATGAATTTATTGACAAGCTGTCAACCCTTGATATTGCACTGTGCTCTGACTGTTAAATAGTCAATGATGTTCAAGTAAACAGTGATTGATATAAGAGTCATCATTTATCTATAAAATTTTTGGTCATGATTTCTAAGATAATGCTTCAATCATTGTATTTTAATATTCTACCCAATTTAAGGCTCTCTGCCTAGTCTTTCGCTTTTCGCAAAATATTTGACTAATAAATTTTGCATGGCCAATAAAGTTTATCTTGAAAAAAATTACTTTCTAATAGTTATTCGTATTATATTAAGGAATTTATTGAGATTATTGAATTCATCAGATGTTAGAGCTTTTATTCTGCTTTTCTCAGTTGGGTCACTAAAGGCATCCATCATTTTTAGTTCATTTCATTTCTAGAATTATTCATATTCCTTTGGTTGGGTCTTAAATGATTTTTCTCCACATGAATATTTTTATAAGGGGTGGATTGGGTGGGTGCTAAAGGTAGAGTCTGCAATCTCACGTTCAATTAGTTTGTCTGTTTTTATCATGAAATTTAGAAGGGTTTGCATTTTCTGATTATTCTCCTCCAAGAAATTTTAGATTTGCTCTAGCTTATCTTCATGATTATTCCTCTGCTATTTTGTCCAATACTTCAATTTGCTCCATAATAGCTGATTTAGGTGTCATGCTGTATTAATAAGTTAAAAAATGCAATTGTGTTAGTAAATATTTAATTTAAAATGTGAGGGTAAGAGTAAATGCCTGCTAATATGTCCTAATTAAATGATGTAAAATGATATGGAATTTAAAAGCATAAAAAAGTTGGTCACATAAAATCATATGAAAACTTAATTAGTTAAGAGAAGTAAGCTAAAAACATGGATTTTAATTTGTTTACGTTAAAGATATAAATAAGGGCTTTTTGTTTTGACCAATCCCAAAGATGATAGACATTAATTTTTTTGTTGAACTCACAAATTCAATGTAATTTGATGCCACTTAAGTAAATTTTCAGAGTAAGTTATGGTAAACAGTTTGATCATTTTTGTAGGTTTAACTGTTGGAGGAACAACATAAATTTTATAGACTTACCCTTAGATAAAGTAGCCTATGCTTTTATATGAAAAGATACCACATTGAATGGAAAACAACATGAGAAAGAAGATTACCTAAACGCCAAATGAAAAAGCTCCTTTATGCAATTGTTTTCTCCAAATATTCTCTTGATTTAACCTTATAGTCTAATACCAAATTTTGCAGAGGCTTAGTATTAGACCTCCTAATAAGGGTTTATTTTGATTTATGAGGCTCCTAGATTTATTATTTAAAATTTACAAACAATGGGCTAGCATTTGAAGTAGTGGTTTAGAAGGAACATATAAAATAGATGTCAAAGCTCAGACCCATGATCCTTAGGGTTAAGTTTAGGCTTTAGTTGGAGGATCTTGACAAGCTCTCGGCTTGAAGCACTTGGAATATTTAGGTCAGTGTGTCTGGATATGATATAGAAGTTTTTAAAAATTTCTAAAACTTTTTTTTATCTTTTTAGGTTTTATATTAAGGCTTGGTCATGTGAGATCCAGTTTTGGCCGCTAGCTTAGATGTATAACTTTCGTGGAGGGGTTTATGGTTGGGGAAAAGTATTTGAATTATTTGTAATTGATAGAGATGTGTCTCTAGAATGAATATTAAGCTTTTCACAAATTTATAAAACTTTTAGAGCATTCAAATGCTCGAAGGAATTAGACTAGGCCTTGTTTATTCTAGCCTAGCTAGACAGTTCTCAAATGAGGTTTCTTTATATT